CGTTGTAATAAATATGGCGACAAAGATGAGGACAATAGTCGAATAATGTAAAATAGTGTACATAATACCTCATCTCAGAAATATAGACAAATACCGAAAGGCCGAAACGTTGTAATAAATATGGCGACAAAGATGAGGACAATAGTTAGAATAATGTAAATAGTGTACATAATACCTCATCTTAGAAATATAGACAGATACTGAAAGGCCGAAACGTTGCAATAAATATGGCGACAAAGATGAGGACAATAGTCTGAATAATGTAAATAGTGTACATAATACCTCATCTCAGAAATATAAACAAACACTCGATGAATGTTATGATCCTTGTTTTTAAAAAACATTCATTAAGTGTTTATGTTATGTTGTTGTGTTAGGATCCTTACTTTAAAAAAAAAAACAAGGATCACAACATTCGTCGAATAGTTAATGCACCTTTAAAATTTAGTTAACGAAGTGATTTCGCCATTTTATATCATTAACTTTACTAATTTACTTTTTTGTATGAATGATTCATTGTAATATAAATTAAACTGCACCACATATTTGATATATATATATATATATATATATATATATATATATATATATATATATATATACCCTTTATTCTACATTCAACACCATCACTTGAGAAGACACCAGAAGTGTTGAAACAAAATGGCTATTTTTGTCGTAATTTTATAATATTTCTATGTTATAATTTTCGAATAAATGATTATATTTGTTCTACTCTGTATTGAGCACTCTTTTTAAGAATAGTATTTGTTGGTTATTGGAATTTATTCCGTACACACCAATCCTATACTATATATATATATATATATATATATATATATATATATATATATATATATATATATATTACTCAAAAAAATGAACTCATATGGGGGTGATAGATCTATTTTAATATGTTAAATTTCTAATTCCGACAGGGACACACTCTATACACCGGGGTTGAATAAGGCATAGGTTTGGCGGTAGAAATAGAATCTATCCTCCCCCTCCTATATGAGGCAATTTTGGATTTTGTTGTATAATTTATATGATCTGTTATAATAAATACATTGGGCTCTTTTTGTGGAACTGTTTTAATATTTTATATTACTAGGATCCACTTGGATTATATACCAACGTTTTTTTAACTGTACCCGTTATATATATATATATATATATATATATATATATATATATATATATATATATATATAATAGTTTAAACACTAATATTCCATGGTCATAATTTATTCCATTGGAATCGTAAATACGATCCAATTCATCAGACCTACAAATTCAAAAAAAGAAAAGAAAAAAACAACTCCGGAAATAAAAATAGAATTTAGAGAGAGGTAAGTATGAGAGTGTGGGACGAATGTTAGAGCTAAAGAGACGGGTAACAGACGAGAGAAGGTGGGAGATTAAACCTTAACAGAGAGAAGTTTAGAGAGGTGAGTCAAAGACGGTTTAAGTGAGAGAAATATGAATGTTGTCGGATGTCTAATACATTAAAGATGTAACCAGAAAGGACATGCACACATACACACACAATAGACGATCTAATCTTAAAGATCAGAAGAAGAGGGAGGGAGAGGAAAAGAAAAAGGGGTGGGGGAGAGATGGGCCAGGGGAAACTAAAACTGAAGGGTATTTACTGAAAGGGCTGCTGTGTAATTAAGAAAATTTGACAAAATTAATATCGACTACAGGTTACAAATCAACTATAAACATATAAAAAAGAAATATAAGGATTATCTAATCTAGCAAGGACCTATATTTTTATGTTCAAAAACACATGCGTATACACACATACACAATAACATATACACGTACATACATACATCGTCTGTTACCCCTCTCTTTAGCTCTAACATTCGTCCCATACTCTCATGCTTACACTCTCTCTAAATTCTATTTTTTATTTCCGGAGTTGTTTTTTCTGTTATCTATCTATCTATCTATCTATCTATCTATCTATCTCTATTCTCTCTTTATACGTTATCTTTATGGATACAAATTATTTGAGTAAAAGCTCTGTTTTTTTTTTTTAATTAAACGGTATTACATAAGCCATCATCAAAGATTACAAGTACAGTTCAATAAATTAAATAATAGATAATATATATATAGATAATATATATATATATATATATATATATATATATATATATATATAGATAGATAGATAGATCAAACGACTATAGGCAACAAATAACTTATCATCAAATTTATTCATGAGGTGTAAGCCTAACAGTGTTCGATGTGGTTAGACAGAGCAAATATATATATATATATATATATATATATATATATATATATATATATATATTACATTTCATTTGCGACTTAAGTTTCACTGGTTTTCCAGTTTTAGGGCATAAAATATATCTTATGTTTTTATAAAATGTGACAGGTGTGTATTTTATAAAACATAACACATATTTGTGCTTGATGAGCTGGATAACCACAAAATATAGGTAAATATATATATATATATATATATATATATATATATATATATATATATATATATATATATATATATATATATATGATTATATATATATATATATATATATATATATATATATATATGAAAAAATATACTGAAAAACAAACAAAAATCCTAATATGCGATTATGCTGTTTTAATGTTTAATGTCAACGTCGAACGTTTCGGTCTAGTAGACCATCTTCAGGACATATTCATAAAAAACCTAATTATCATTAGACCGAAACGCCTGACGTTGACATTATATTAACATTAAAACAGCATAATTGCATATTAGGATTTTTTTTTGTTTTTTTTCTTATATTTTCTTCATACTTTCGGATCTATATCCATATATTTGCTTACACACACACACACACACACACACACACACACACACACACACACACACACATATATATATATATATATATATATATATATATATATATATATAGAAGCAAAAAAAATGGACGCACCCACAGAAAGTCGATTTTTGTATTTTTATCAAGACAAGTGAGTAATAGAATTCTTTTATTAATACAGGGTATTTTGTCTACTTATTTTCAATAAGTTCCTCTCATATTCATGGACCAACTGCTTAGTATCCTTACATTGTACTAATAACAACATTGTGGTGCAGTTCATTTTATATTAGAGTTATATGTAAATAAAATTTATATTACAATTATATATAAATTATATATATATATATATATATATATATATATATATACGTATCCGAATGTAATGAGAACGAAAATAGTATATATAAATTCTAACATTCACAGCATTAATTCTAAAGGAGGCTCAATAGCGATAGTAGACCAATAATTATTTACTATATATATATATATATATATATATATATATATATATATATATATATATATATGAAGTAATATAGGTTTAAGGTGTGCTATATTTATAGGATAAAGTGCTCAATATCAGAGATAGAGCGTATGTAAATATAAATATAAAAGTGAACATTGAAGTAAACACTCAGAGGCGACAGGCTGTTTCATGCTAGACGCAATCGTCAGGCCGCGAATTCTGGATTTTTCCCCGACTATTTATATATATGGGTCAGTGGTGCATTGTGGGTAATCTATTCTGGCGGTTATTTTTGCGGGAGCGGCTTGTTTGTTTATTCATTTATTTATTAATTTATTTTACATGTTTTACATTTTTATTTTGTATTATTTATTCTTTTCGTTTTTTGATGTTTTATTGACGTAGTAAAAAAAATGGGTGTTATGCTTAGGTCGCTTATTTAATAGTTTGTTTTGGTCTGGGAAGATAATTTAAGCTATTTATTCATCCAGTGTTTAGATTGCTTGCCGTAATCTATTCTGTTATTTTGGCAGGTGAACAGTTTTTAGACTACAATGACCATTCCAAAAATTGGACTTAAAAAAAACAAAAAAAAACTTCTACATAACGATAAAAAATTGCCAAAAAAAAAACATTACTATGTTACTCAAAAATCGAAAACCAAATAGAATAAATAAAAATATAGAAAATAAAAAATAAATAAAAAACGAATAAAAGTTAATCCAAATAAATAAATAAATGAACAAATTAACAAATCGCCCCCGCTAAAATAACCGTTAGAACTAATAGAAATAAACATAAATATACAAAAACAAGTAAAAATGATCAATCCAAATAAATTACTTAATTAATTAAAAAGTGCCCCCCCCCCTCTGACAATTATTCCAAGAGGATGCGAAGCAATATTTAACAAAATAAAAAAAATAAAAAATCTGAAAAAAGATATTCAAAGATTACTGGATACATCAGACTTCTGAAACAAACCGGAGAACAAATCAGTAAAAAAATGTCACAATGAAAATAATAAAACTGAAGATACACGTCCTAATAATTCATGCTATAATGAAAGAAATTCATTCACAGAATGACAGAGAACACTTGTCAGATCGACAAGAAAAATCAAGTCGTAATATTTTAGAAGATAGATTCCGAAACTCATGCTAAGAATGCGGAAGAACAACACTGTTAATCGATTTTCTTTAAATAAAAAATCCATTAAGAAAAAAAAGGTTAATTTCTCTTGTTGGCTTCGGTTTCAGTCACTGTAATTATTTTTATATCTGCTCAATAGTTACGCAAAAATGATTAAGTATTTTTCAATTTTTGAAAGCAAAAAAGTGAGCAAGTAAATGATGAAGTAGTTCGTAGGTTAAAATGAAGAAAAGAGTTGAATACATGCGGAGGAGAAAGGAGACTCTAAAGAAAGCAAAGGAATTCATCGATGGACTTTTAACTTTTTATTTTTAATGAAAAAAGGAAAGAAAAAAAGTCCCACGAAATAAAAACGCTACAAATTTAAAATAGTGTTAAATATTTGAGTTTCTCCAGGATTTTTAGACAATAAATCTATTGGATTTATTCAGCTAAAATTTGGTACGACCTTGATAAAAATAAAATAAATTAAAATTGTTTTTACCTACAAAGAAAGAAAGAAAGAAAGAAAGAAAGAAAAGGAAATTTCAAAGAAAGGAAGAAACAAAGAAAGAAAAAAGAAAAGTTAATTTCAAAGAAAGAAAGAAAGAAAGAAAGAAAGAAAGAAAGAAAGAAAAGGAAATTTCAAAGAAAGGAAGAAACAAAGAAAGAAAAAAAGAAAAGTTAATTTCAAAGAAAGAAAGAAAGAAAGAAGGAAAAAGAAAAGAAATAAGGAAAGGATGTAAGAAAGAAAGAAAGAAAGAAAGAAAGAATGAAAGAAAGAAAGAAAGAAAGAAAAGAAAAGAAATAAGGAAAGGAAGTAAGAAAGAAAGAAGGAAAACAAAAGAAAAGAAAGAAAGAAAAAAGTTAAGAAAGAAAGTAAGAAAGAAAGAAAGAAGGAAAAGAAAAGAAAGAACAAAGAATAACAGAAAGAAATAAAAGTAAGAAAGAAAAGGAAAAGGAATTACGACAGAAAGGAAATAATAAATAAAGAATAAAGAAAGAAAGTAAATAGAAAAGAAGAAAGAAGAAGAAAGAAAAAGAAGACAAGACTAACAAAAGCAGAAACGAATAAAGAAAAAGAAAGATAGAAAAAAGTAAACAGAGCAAAGAAAGAAGAAAGAAAATAAGAAGAAAAAAAGAAAGCAAGAATAAAAAGAATACAGAAGTAAAAAGAAGAAAAAAAGAAAGGCAGAGAAAAGAAATAGGAAGAAAAGAAGAAAAGAAAAATGAACGTAAAAAAAAACGAATTGATATCCATGTTTGGTAATTCTGATAAAAGATAAAATTTTAATTTCTTTATTCACGAAATTTGCTAATAATTACGTGATATATTATTTTTCACCGATTTTGCAAATTAGTACTGAAGTAATTAGTCGTCTGGCATTACAAATTTTAAATTAATAAAATTTAAATTACGAAAACAACTTATTTTCCCAACGATTTTGTAATACGAAAAAGAAAATAAAGACTAACAAGGGAGATAACTCCCAAAAACTTTTCAAGAGTTATCCAACTTGATTCATGTAAAGTTATCGGTTAGGCAAGTGTCTTGTAAATCATGTGTCGTAAGTAAGGCGAAACCTTTTTCGATTCGCCTTAGTTGCACACTAAGCTGAGTTTGATTCTTATTGGTAGCCCACTATTATGAACTTGTGCCAGACTAATATAATGTTAGTAAATATTTATTAAAAAATTAATTTGAACAAACCTATTTAAGTAGTTGATTTTATAAGAATTTTTGAACGAAATGCTTTCGATAAGAAATGAATAAAAATGGAAAATATCGGTCAAAAGTAAACATTTCCATGAGGTTTGAATAAGAAGCAATCATATGACATTTTTTGAGGACTTAGGACACAAAGAAACACTAATTTTCTAGTACCAGGTCGGTGATACTCGTTATCATAACTGCAAATTAATTAGAGCAAGTAAAAATAGACGAAAGGCTATATTCCTTTCAGATGTCAGTCTGTTGTCTGCTTGCAAACTTTTGTGGTATATACTTGTGATTGTATCTGTCTATATTTCTGAGATGACATTGTTCGGACTGTTGTCCTTATCTTTATTGTCACGACGTTTCGGCCGTTGTACGCTCCGGCCTTCTTCAGGATCTGTCTATATTTCTGAGATGAGGTATTGTAATAATTTACATTATTTACATTGTTTGGACTGTTGTCCTCAACTTCGTTGCCCTACTCATGACGTTTCGGCTGTTGTACGCTCCAGCCTTCTTCAAGTGGTTAGAATTTCGAACTGAACCTTTTATTTCGTGCACGGGGGTAGATTATTCTAGTTCCACAAGGACACATAGCCCAGTGGATAAAGTGTTAGTTGGATCCACTGACTTGACCCAAAGTGTTGTGAGTTCAATACCTGGCTACTGCAACGTTGAACAAAAACTTGGAGTGTTAAGTTAAAGGGAGATAACTGAGACATCCGGAAGAGTGATGGCACGTCGGCCTGGAAAGTGGAATCAGCGAGCCGAGTTCAAATTCCGATCTCGTCTTGCTTTTTCACCTTTACCTTAATACTCTTTGGGGAAAACATCAATCCATGTCTTCTACCCCATTCAACTAAATATAAAATAGCATAGTAGACTAGACTCTATAGCCTTGAGTGGTAGCTAATCTAAGAGAAGGGTTACTCTGAATTCGAAAACGTGGAGAATTTAACGCGAGACCACTTCTGAATCAGTCTGTTGTAATCTCTTCCTCACAGATACCCTTGGGAAAATCATAAATCGATCTTTTCGCCTCCAGCTATGGGTTAAATAGTAGTATAGACATGACACTCTTAGGAGAAGGACTACTCTGACTTACAAACAATTTTTCTGAAAAATAGGTTCCTCCTGTCCAATAAGTTTTTATTTAAATCATTTCAAACCAAGAAAGGTGGGAATGCCACTAGTACGCAGGGGGTTACAGGTAGTGAAAGAGAGTGCGTGAAATTGGGTTGAGGGACTAATAAAGGATAAAAGCTAAACGGTGTTCACGTTGATAGAAGATGGTGATTGACATTGCATTTAAATTTTTGAAGATTGTAGTTATCAGGAAAGTAAGGAAACAGAAGAGAGTTACACAGGTGGGAAGTGCGAGAAACGAAACTGTTAGAGTAGAAGTGGCAGTTATATTTACCTAATTCATCAGTAAAAGGGTGGGACCTAAGCGCCAATCTAGTAGCACGCTTAAACTCACATAGTCTGGGCACCAAGTAAAAAAAGCTCATCAGAGCAGTATCCATGAAAATATTTGTCGAAAAGAGAGAGGGAAGCCACGTCTTACTAGTATTGATGGGAACTTCTTACCTTTTTCGTCTTGAAGTAGTGTTGAAAGCCAACATTATGTGTTGGGAAAATAGTTTTCTCAAGTCAAGTAAGTGTTATCGCTTTTTTTCCAGTATCGATGGGTGTTTCCTTCCTAACCTTTTATTTGAGGTAGTGTGGAATGTCAACATCTTGATTATATAATTATTTTCTCTTCGAGTGACACGTGCTATTCACTTTAGTTGTTACTGTTGTTGAAAGTCCTCAAGTGATGTGGTTTCTGTTATTTGATACAATGCTTTGTAATCCTCTAGCGACGGTCCACAATGTAAAAAAAATATACGATGATCCCCGTGAATACCTACAGGATTCATTTGTCCGAAAATATTTTAATCATTGATCTGGGAAATTGGTAGTATACAGCTGACAGTTTAGATATTTCTAAACGAATTTCGCGCCATACCTGACATGCATAGGGAAGTCTCGATCGGATGAGGCTATTTAAGAGCATGATTTAAGATTAATGTTTTGGTTTCGTAGAAACTAGCGGTATTGTGGGAAACTACCTTTAGCTAATTCTATGTTCAATTTCCTTATCTACTATACTAAATTTGTTATAACTGATCTATAAAAATATGAATTAACAGAATATCCGAGTCTATAGTCTATTTGGCAGATTTTATGAAACTAAAATTTATTCTATGTCAGATAAAGTGTCGGCCAATCAGCTTGAAACACTGAATGTCAAAGGTAAAATGTTTATTATTTATTATTAATTCCCTTTTATTTGGAATGACATAACTTTTATCAAAATATCTTTTAGATGTCCAAGTAACAAATGGATTTGGATCGAATGTTATTTTAATATTTTATTTGAAATAGTTATTTTTTCTGGTCTGAAACCAATAAAAACTCCAAGCACATCTTGTTAAGCATGTATTTCAATATTATGAAATACTAGTCTATGTATAGTTAGATACCCAATGTCTTTGTCTTAGAATTTAGGTTTAAAAAACAATCGACTTATACTTGAGTACACACACTAATTTAAAACCATGGTCGATAAAAACATCTAGCGAATAAGTTTGTTAGTTTTTTATTAAAATTTAATTACATTAAATTTTATTTATGAATAAAAATGACAATAGGAAAACTGGTAATTGCTGACGCGTTTGGTCCAATGTGGACTTTATCAAAGCAAAATACAAAAATAAATTCGTATTTTGCTTTGATAAAGTCCACATTTTTATTTATAAATACTGTCTTCTCTACTGATTAAATCGGAGAAATTTTCATTAAACTTTATATATATAAATGTTTAGTTTCAATGTTTTCTCAACGATATTTGGGAAAAATAAAAAAAAAATATGTCACAAGAAAAAAAAACAAAAGAAGAAATCCGGTTCTTTTTTAATCTATTTCTGGAATTTTAAAAAAAATTATTTCACCCCCAGCAAGGCGATAATGCTACTAAGACGCCAGAGGTTACTAGGAATGAAAGAGAATGAGAAGCTTTAGTGATTAGAAAGAACACTAAAAGAACGGGTTTCAGGATGACAAAAGATGGCGATATTGCCACTAAAAATCAAGGGGTTACTGGGAGTGGTATATTTATAAATGAGCAAGATGGATTCTAACTCGAAAAATTGTCTGGCACGACACAGTGAACCAACTTTTTCTAGCAAGGTGACATAGAATTAGCCAATTTGAAAGTACATGAGACTATGTATATTAAATAATATTAAACCTAAACTGAGTCTTTTAAACTCATCTTCTCAAAAAAACGGTAATGATTGGGAAAAATATTTTTATTCTTATTTATCATGTGAAAGAAAAAATTCGGTACAAAGAAAAGAGTACTGAATTGATATGTAATATCAGTCCTCCTATATGGCAGTGAATGCTGGACAATCTCCTCACAGATGAAGAAGAGACTTGAAACAACAGAAACAAAGAAAAGAGTACTGGACTGTTATCTAATATCAGTCCTCCTATATGGCAGTGAATGCTGGACAATCTCCTCGCAGATGAAGAAGAGATTTGATGCAACAGAAACAAAGAAAAGATTACTGGACTGTTATCTAATATCAGTCCTCCTATATGGCAGTGAATGCTGGACAATCCTCCTGCAGATGAAGAAGAGATTTGATGCAACAGAAACAAAGAAAAGATTACTGGACTGTTATCTAATATCAGTCCTCCTATATGGCAGTGAATGCTGGACAATCTCCTCAACAGGAAACAAAGAAAAGATGATGAAGAAGAGATTTGATGCAACAGAAACAAACAAAGAAAAGAATACTGAACTGTTACGGAATATCAGTCCTCCTATATGGCAGTGAATGCTGGACAATGTTATCACAGATGAAGAAGCGGTTGAGGCAACAGAAAAAAGGTTCTACAGAAGGATGCTGAGAATAAAATGAACTGGATATGTGAGCAACAACAAAGTTTAAGAGAAAATGAAAACAAAAAATACACCTATAATACTTAAAATCCGAAAGAGAGTTGAAATTTTTCGGGCATATAATGAGGAAAGAGGGCTTGGAAAATTTGTCACTCACAGGACATATTGAAAACAAGAAGGACAAAAGAAAACATCGCATAACCTAACGAGTTTGTGTAAATGGTTGGCAAAACATGGATTAAGAGAGAATGCAAAAAGACAAATTTTACTCAGAGCTACAAAGGAGAGGAAATTGTGGAGAGCTATGATCGTAGATGTTCAGAAAGGCACATAGAAGAAGATTTATTGATTGATTGATTCAGTCATTTATAAATTACGGCTTATCAACCCATTACAGGTTATTTAAAGGCAGAAAATAATTTTACGTTGTTAGAATTTTGGAGGGGGGTAAATAGATAGATAGATAGATAGATATGAAAGGATTGAGGTAGGTAGCTAGCTAGCTAGATAGATAGATACGAACAGACTAAGATAGATAGATAGATAGATAGATAGATAGATAGATAGATATGAAAGGATTAAGGTAGGTAGCTAGCTAGCTAGCTAGATAGATAGATACGAACAGACTAAGAGAGAGAGTTAGATAGATAGATAGATAGATAGATAGATAGATAGATAGATAGATAGATATGAAAGGATTGAGTGAGCTAGCTAGCTAGCTAGCTAGATAGATACGACAGACTAAGATAGATAGATATGGACGGATTCGGCTGGATAGATTTATTGGTTGATTCATTTATTTATTACGACTTATCAACCCATTACAGGTTATTTAAAGCCATAAAATATTTTTACATTTTAAGAATATTGTGTGTGTGGGGTGATAATGACTTATTAGTCATACAAGTTTAACTCATTCCTGGTGGCAGAAGAATTGGATTCATGCCTTTGTTCAAGATTACTTGCACTTAAATGATTATAACAAACCCAACTCGAATTAGAACTTGGCTCTCCGATTAACAACTCTAAGCCATTATTCGTTACACCACACGAACATCCAACCACGTGGTATTCACAAGCAGTCACCCATAGAGCTACTGAACAAGATCGACGTTGCTTAACTTCGGAGATCCCATGGGAACCGGTGTTTTAACGTGTTATGATTTTAAGCCCAGACGGAGATAGATAGATAGATAGATAGATAGATAGATAGATAGATAGATAGATAGATAGATAGATAGATAATGTACACACAGTAATGTCGGACTAAAAGTAACTGTATTTATTAATGTCTGAATCAATAGGCGCGAGTCTCGTATGCAGTCGGGTGTGTGCAAAACGCCTGAGAAGGGCGCGGAAAACACTCGCTCTCAACTTGAGATGCTGAGTTGCATCCGAAAAACGGAAATCTGTAATGCATCGATCGACAATGCACCGAATGTGCACTCGTTAAAAACTAAACAACGTGTGTATTTTTACACCAACGCGAAAATGGATTCGTTAAGTTGAAAATCGAAAAACCCTTCTCAGGTTTAGGTGTGTGGCGAGAGGCGGGCACAGGTACGCTTTTTTGTCTTTCTTGCTTACGTACTTTCTGAATACGCGAATATGTCAGTGTATACGCGAATGCGTATGTGTGTGTAAGAGGATGAGAGAGAGAGAGTGGGAGAGAGAGTGACAATTGGGATAGATAGATAGATAGATAGATAGATAGATAGATAGATAGATAGATAGATAGATACGAAAGGATTGGGTTAGATAGATAGATAGATAGATAGATAGATAGATAGATAGATAGATATGAAAGGATTGGGTTAGATAGATAGATAGATAGATAGATAGATAGATAGATACGAAAGGATTGGGTTAGATAGATAGATAGATAGATAGATAGATAGATAGATAGATAGATAGATAGATAGATATGAAAGGATTGGGTTAGATAGATAGATAGATAGATAGATAGATAGATAGATAGATAGATAGGAAAGGATTGGGTTAGATAGATAGATAGATAGATAGATAGATAGATAGATAGATAGATAGATAGATAGATAGATAGATACGAAAGGATTGGGTTAGATAGATAGATACGAAAGGATTGAGCTGGATAGATAGATAGATACGAAAGGATTGAGCTGGATAGATAGATAGATAGATAGATAGATAGATAGATAGATATGGAAGGATAGGGCTGGACGGATAGATAGATATGGGAGGATAGGGTTGGATAAATAGATAGGTAGATAGATATGGAAGGATAGGGCTGAATAGATAGATAGATAGATAGATAGATAGATAGATAGATAGATAGATAGATAGATAGATAATGTAGAGTAAGATCAGTCTAAAAGTGGCGAAAACAGGAGAATTGATTGATTCATTTTTTACGGTTTATCAACCTGTTCCAGATTATTTAAAACCGGGAAATATTAGTTATGAGATTTTTTTTTTTTTTAGATAATTATGATTTTAGTGATAGAAGTTTTACAAATTAAGCAATGGCTTTGTGGATCCGAATAATATAAAATATGAAAATCTGATCCACGAAAAGAGCTCAGTTTATTATTTCAGAGCAAATAATTAATAAACAATAAAATCGAAAATCACCTCATATGGGGAACAGTCTATTTCGGCAGACGAAAATATCGGTCGTCTATCTTATCAACCCCGGTGTGGACTGAGTTCCTGTCAGAAAAAGAAATTTAACTGAAAGCTAAAAAAAAAAAAAAAAAAAGTAAAGGTCGAAAAATAATACAGAATTTACCCATTTCTAAGTTTCATTCAGACGAAATACACGAGATTGGGGTCTGGGGTGGGTCGAAGGTATTTGTCTTAAAGACAAGAAGAAACTTTAATTAAATGATTAATTATATTTAAATCGTTCCTTGATTATATATATATATATATATATATATATATATATATGAAGAAATATAGTTTTAAGGTGTGTTATATTTATGGGATAAAGTGCTCAATATCAGAGATAGAGCGTATGTAAATATAAATATAAAAGTGAACATTGAAGTCAACACTCAGAGGCGACAGGCTGTTTCATGCTAGACGCAGTGGCCTGATCATTGTGTCTGGCATGAAACAGTCTGTCGCTTCTGAGTTGACTTCAATTTTCACTTTTTTATATATATATATATATATATATATATATATATATATATATATATATCTGTATGATTGTATGTATTTTTCTAATCTATCTATCTATCAATCTATCTCTCTGTTTCTCTCCCCCTCTCTCTCTCTTCTATTTCTATTTCTCGCTTTCTTTTTCTCTCTCTCTCTCTCTCTCTTATATATATTTATATATATATATATATATATATATATATATATATATATATATATATATATATATATATAAAGAAATATAGTTTTAGGTGTGCTATATTTATGGGATAAAGTGCTCAATATTACGTAAATATAAAAGTGAACAGTGACATCAACAGACTTCTCTAAGTGTTGATTTCAATGTTCACTTTCATATATATATATATATATATATATATATATATATATTTAGAGAGAGAGAGAGAGAGAATGTGAGAGTCTGGAAGAGAGAAAGTGGGTGAGAGTTTACGAAACAGAGAGTGTGGGAAAGAAAGAAAGAAAGATGTATGTGTGAGTGTGGGTGAATGGATAATGAAAGAAAAAAACAAAGGATAACCCACTACTCCTGTTCAAAAACCAGGGAGGAGTATGAACCGAACCAAAAGCGAACCTATCGATATAATCTACACTTCTTACCACCTTGTCTTACATTCACAAAACAATGCCCCCGCCCGGATCACTCTGCTACACCTTAATATTCATAAAGTAGCATTCATATAAAATATAAATTTTACTGTAACATATTCATATTCAACATTAAAAATAGTGGCTTTCATATATATTTTTTTTTAGCATGATCAAAACAAATTCACGGATTTAGGCGGGAAAAAAATTTCATTAATAGTCAGTTGTACTTAGTTTTATTTTGTGACATATATAAAAGTAGGTAGGAAAAAAAAACCCACAAAATACAAATATAGATAAGATACTGAGGGTTAAAAAAACACTGACCGTAAGGGAAGGGCAATCAGGTTAGCAATGGGCGTAAAAAGATTGATGCTATTTTTTTTTTCCGAGGCTATTTATACCAAGTGAACAGGCTCAGCTGATATTCAAACTCGGCCTTTTGAGTCTCCTTCCGTCGTCGATAACCGGTAGGCTACCAAGCGCCTCCCCAGCAGCGTAAATATATATATATATATATATATATATATATATATATATATATATATATAGATATGACGGATGGAGGCAGGGATACGTGTATTTTGTCCGTTCTTGCATTTCTTCGATAGTTAATCTGTTTTCTAGCGTACATCTTTGTTACATAAAATGTCAAGAAGCCCACAGAAATAAATATATAAATAAATAAATCCTTTCTCATCCACTTGCTGCATAGATCCGCAAACAGAATCACTTATGGTATTTGTCATTTGTTTCAGTAGCTGACATTTAAAAGGCTTCACTTCTGTACAGAAGTTGCAGACAGGTGGTTTCTGTTGTGTTTATTTAAAACTGCATTTTAACGACCAAGTCGCGCCATTATCTGTTTTTGCAATAATGTTCGCCCTGTGCAAGGCCTAAGAGCTACTCGAGGTAGAGGGTTACAGAGTAAGAGATACAGTTTATGTAAATATATGGGAAAGATAAAGTTTAATCCGAGACTTGAACAGGTTAAGAATAAAACGAACGAGGAAACATATTCTTGGGAGTCGGTTCCATAAAGCAGCGAAAAAGCTGTCCGAGTGGAACTTCAATCTCAACAATGAAATAGGAAGAGAATGAAGGTGGTTCGCTACTCTATGAGTAGCATGGCGGGTCAAAGCTGTGAAGGTTAGGACAGAAGTAACTAAGGAATAAAAAATAGTGACAGAGTGGCGAGATGCTTAGCTGTAAAGGTCTGAAATGGTGGAACTAAGGAATGTTGCTCGTCTGGACATTTGCCATGGAAATAGCGATAGAGTAGAGAGAGGCTTAGCTGTAAAGGTCTGAAATGGTGGAACTAAGGAATGTTGCTCGTCTGAACATTTGCCATGGAAATAGCGATAGAGTAGAGAGAGGCTTAGCTGTAAAGGTCTGAACTGGTGGAACTAAGGAATGTTGCTCGTCTAGACATTTGCCATGGAAATAGCGATAGAGTAGAGAGAGGCTTAGATGTAAAGGTCTGAAATGGTGGAACTAAGGAATGTTGCTCGTCTGAACATTTGCCATGGAAATAAAGGATAGAGTAGAGAGAGGCTCAATGTAAAGGTCTGAAATGGTGGAACTAAGGAATGTTGCTCGTCTGGACATTTGCCATGGAAATAGCGATAGAGTAGAGAGAGGCTGTAAAGGTCTGAAATGGTGGAACTAGGGAATGTTGCTCGTCTGGACATTTTCCATGGAAATAGCGATAGAGTAGAGAGAGGCTTAGCTGTAAAGGTCTGAACTGGTGGAACTAAGGAATGTTGCTCGTCTGAACATTTGCCATGGAAATAGCGATAGAGTAGAGAGAGGCTTAGATGTAAAGGTCTGAAATGGTGGAACTAAGGAATGTTGCTCGTCTGGACATTTGCCATGGAAATAGCGATAGAGTAGAGAGAGGCTTAGATGTAAAGGTCTGAACTGGTGGAACTAAGGAATGTTGCTCGTCTGAACATTTGCCATGGAAATAGCGATAGAGTAGAGAGAGGCTTAGATGTAAAGGTCTGAAATGGTGGAACTAAGGAATGTTGCTCGTCTGGACATTTGCCATGGAAATAGCGATAGAGTAGAGAGAGGCTTAGATGTAAAGGTCTGAAATGGTGGAACTAAGGAATGTAGCTCGTCTGAACATTTGCCATGGAAATAGCGATAGAGTAGAGAGAGGCTTAGATGTAAAGGTCTGAACTGGTGGAACTAAGGAATGTTGCTCGTCTGACATTTGCCATGGAAATAACGATAGAGTAGAGAGAGGCTTAGATGTAAAGGTCTGAACTGGTGGAACTAAGGAATGTTGCTCGTCTGGACATTTGCCATGGAAATAGCGATAGAGTAGAGAGAGGCTTAGATGTAAAGGTCTGAAATGGTGGAACTAAGGAATGTTGCTCGTCTGGACATTTGCCATGGAAATGTAGAGAGAGAGAGGCTTAGCTGTAAAGGTCTGAACTGGTGGAACTAAGGAATGTTGCTTGTCTGAACATTTCAAATGGAAATAGCGATAGAGTAGAGAGAGGCTTAGATGTAAAGGTCTGAAATGGTGGAACTAAGGAATGTTGCTCGTCTGGACATTTGCCATGGAAAAGCGATAGATTAGAGAGAGGCTTAGATGTAAAGGTCTGAACTGGTGGAACTAAGGAATGTTGCTCGTCTGAACATTTGCCATGGAAATAGCGATAGAGTAGAGAGAGGCTTAGCTGTAAAGGTCTGAAATGGTGGAACTAAGGAATGTTGCTCGTCTGGACATTTGCCATGGAAATAGCGATAGAGTAGAGAGAGGCTTAGCTGTAAAGGTCTGAACTGGTGGAACTAAGGAATGTTGAAATGGTCCTCGTCTGGACATTTGCCATGGAAATAACGATAGAGTAGAGAGAGGCTTAGATGTAAAGGTCTGAAATGGTGGAACTAAGGAATGTTGCTCGTCTGGACATTTGCCATGGAAATAGGGATAAGGAGAGAGGCTTAGCTGTAAAGGTCTGAAATGGTGGAACTAAGGAATGTAGCTCGTCTGGACATTTGCCATGGAAATAAGCGATAGAGAGAGAGGTTTAGATGTAAAGGTCTGAAATGGTGGAACTAAGGAATGTTGCTCGTCTGGACATTTGCCATGGAAATAGCGATAGAGTAGAGAGAGGCTTAGATGTAAAGGTCTGAAATGGTGGAACTAAGGAATGTTGCTCGTCTGGACATTTGCCATGGAAATAGCGATAGAGTAGAGAGAGGCTTAGATAAAGGTCTGAAATGGTGGAACTAAGGAATGTTGCTCGTCTGGACATTTGCCATAGAAATAAAGGATAGAGTAGAGAGAGGCTTAGATGTAAAGGTCTGAACTGGTGGAACTAAGGAATGTAGCTCGTCTGAACATTTGCCATGGAAATAGCGATAGAGTAGAGAGAGGCTAGCTGTAAAGGTCTGAAGAACTAAGGAATGTTGCTCGTCTGAACAATTGCCATGGAAATAGCGATAGAAGAGGTCTGAAGGTCTGAACTGGTGGAACTAAGGAATGTTGCTCGTCTGGACATTTGCCATGGAAATAAAGCGATAGACTAGAGAGAGGCTGGTAAATGAAATGGTGGAACTAAGGAATGTTGCTCGTTTGAACAT